ATGATGCGCGCGGTGGGGAGGCAACTCCCCACCACAGCCCTGGGGAAAGAAAGAGAGAGAGAGAGAGAGAGTTAGAGTTCTCCATACTTTCTTCTACCCCTACAAAGCCCCGAAACAGGGGTGCGCCTCACGGCGCGGGGTGCCTGACTCGCACCCTATGCCCCGGAGAATAGAATAGAATAGAATAGTTAGAGTTTTCTTCCTGTAATCAAGTTTGTGTGTGAACTCACGTGATGCCATTGGGGACGAATCGTGCGTTGATGTAAGGAGCCACTTTGCAGGAAGAGAGGAGGCGGGAGCTCAGCACCACCCAAGCCCATTCAAAGAGCGACGAAGGGGGGAAAGCCTGCCTCTGCCGCAGAAAACTTCCAGGGAGATACTTGTGGACACAGTGAGAAGAGAGTTTGGATATTGGCGGAGCGCATATGTTCTGCATTGTGTTGTCATAGGTTGTTCTCGGGTGCTTACGCGAGTGCAGTCGCTCGCAACTAGCGGAAGCTCGATCAGCACCCATTCTGGTGGACCAATCACGCTCCGGCGGTTACTTCTGTTAAAGAACCTCAAGCAGTGCTTGGAATTTTCCGGGGGAGAGAGAGAGGTTTGAGTTCGAGTGGTTGGTGGGGGGGGGAGGAGGTAGTGCCATGTGTTACCCCTTGATCCCTTCGTTCTGACCCATCAGAAGCGATGTTAGCATGTCATGGCATGATCAGAAAGATTCGGGACTAGGATCCGTGAGGGCGAACGCCTCAGAAGAGACGGTGAGCCTGGGCGCTTTGTCGCGAGGTTGAGTGAAGGGACACTGTTGCCTTTTCCGCCAAGGTCACGAAGCTTTGGCACTTCGAGAACAACGATCGAGTCCAGATCGACAAAGACTCTCGGCTCAGCTCTGAAAGCACACGTGGACTGCACGCGATGAGCGGACGAGCAAGGTGAAGGCCGGGGACATTTGTGCCTTCGCTGGCCTCACCGAAGTCCTCTGCTCAGACTGGTGCAGCCTGTCATCAGACGCCTTCGATAGTCCTCCCCACGTGGTCAGCATGTGGGATTAGAGCCTGGGGCGAGAGCACTTGGGATTCTTCACGACGAGGGCCGGGCGTGGCGTTGCTAGCCTGTAGGGCAGGATCCTCCTAAACCTTCCCCTGCTGCACGTGCCATCTGCACCCCGCGAACGTAGGATGCCGACTACGAAAGGTGACCATTGGCGACACCGTGGTGGACCTGAACGATGCCAGGGCTCTGCCTCCGATCCAGGTGGAGGCGCGGTGCGACGCTGTATCAGCCTCTTTAACGGAGGGATGTCGAAGAGTTTCAAAGCTTTTCTAGACCTAGTTGGGGTTTTGTGACCCGAGTGTTGGGTCGCAGTCTCGTCGAACGAAGGTCTGAAGTCTTGCGTCTTGGGCTTGCAGAGTTCAGGGCTCTTGGGAAATGTGTGACAGGAAGATGCCCGAAGAGGGGTGGGCGCCTCTGCCGTGCCGCGAACTTTGCACGTTCAGGAGCCGACGGTTGCCATGGAATTCTCGGTGAACAAGTCGCCGTTCGCGGCACAGCTGAAGGCGCATTAGCTGCATTGTGGCTGAGGGTTTTTTTGCCACACAGCCTTGCCGGATGGTTTGCAGGTCTTCGGACAGTCTTGAGTTCTTCTTCGGGTTCTGTTTGGACTTGCCTGTTGGACGATTGGGTCGATTAGAGGGATGGGTTAAGACGTGTCTGGGAGGTTCGGGCCTGATGGGCTTCGTGCGTAGAGAAGTCCTATCGAAGCCATGCAAGACGATGCGTGTGTTCCACCTTGTCGGTTACGCGTAGTCAGATGCCGGCGCTGTCAGGAGTCCACGAAGGTCACAGCTGTCCAGATCAAGGCCTCGTTACGGAGTGCTTGGGAGCCAGCCCCACCATGAACTCGACACAACCTGACGGCGACACTCTTTCCGGCGTTTTGCTTCTTTCCATTGAGAAAGTCTGCTTGCAGGCCCGTTTGGAGAAGGAGTGCCTCACCAACTTGGCTCTGCGTTTTGAGCCTGGCGGCACGCCAGGGCCTCGACCCAGTTTCGAAGGTTTTGAGGCCGTTTCTTCGGAGGGCGTCTTCTTGGCTTCCGACGCAGGTCTGAGAGCTTCAAAGTGAAGGGCAGAGGGACGCTGCAGCCCGGGCCCTCAGCGGGAAGTAGAGTTGAACTGCTTGCCCACCAGGAACCCCTCTGCTCGATAGGCTGGGCATCCTCATGGAGAACATGCGCCGCGAGGCTCGGTCGGATCCAAGCTTGCTGCACCAGACAATGCGATGACCTTGGCCATGTCAATACCAGTAGCATGCTGGCAATGAATTTTGTAGAGATCCTTCTCTGGACGACCGAGCCCCGTGTCAGGGCTTCGAGTTCATGGTCAGTGCGCCGGAGGTGCTGCTGCGTGCGCTCCTGAGAGCAGAGGGACCTGAAGCATCTAGAATCTAAAATGATGACTCCGTTTTGCCACAGCCGCTCTTGCACGGTGCTTCATCTGCTGTGCTGCTGTTGATCCCAGCACTCACGCTTGCTGCATAGCTGCCCTCTTTGTTGCTCTTTTTGCTGCTCTTCCGCTTCCCCTGCCCGTGACTCGAGGCGAGGATCCTGAAAGCGGCAAGAAGTTGGAGCCGTACGAGGCCGCAGCGCGTCTGCGGCGATATGCACAATTTTAACAAAGGGGGAAGCCTTGCCCCTGTTCCCCATAGCCACACAGCCGGCATCAGCAGGATGTTGCAGTGGACGTGCCTACGGAGTACCAGGGAGTTATCATGGAGGAGATGCGGCTTGCTTTCTCACTCAGAATGTTGTGTTGCCTTACCCCTTGTCGAACCCTGCTGGCTATTTGCAGGCTCACTGTTCTCATGCCTGCTCCAGCTAGGAGATGCAGAAGAAAGGCGGTGTCATGAAGGGAATGGAGGCGCAACTTTTGTAGCATCTGCAAGGGTCAACGAACACCATCCGATGCAGCGAAGAACGTTCTTTGTGTCGCAGACTGGAGCCGTTGAGAACTCCTTGATCTTGAGCTTCGAGATCCCAACGCGATGTGCCCAAATCTGCGCGAACCAGGGGCTATGGAAGGAGAGAGACGGTGTTGCTGAGGCGTTGCACCATCGGCATGCCCGGCAAATTCATGCAGAGGAGCTCAGAGCACTGGACTGTAAATGTATGCAGGAAGTGATTCATCTCGCAGGCTGACCATGTTGCTGGTGATATTGAATGTGATGACCAGGGTCTAAAGAGTTGTGATGATGCTCGTGGCTTTTGCTGTTGCTGCTGCTGTTGCAGTTGCTGTTGCTGTTGCTGTGAGTGTTGCTGCTGCTGCTGTTGTTGTTGTTGTTGTTGGCCCCGCACTACAGTCTTTGTCATTGCCGCCTTTTCGGTTGGCGTGGTTGATGATGAGCAAGATGCAAGAGGGCGGTGGTCATGATTCTGAATGAATGCTTCCGCCAAGGAAGGAATGTAATTCGGAACACCGGTCGCTAACTCAACAGACTAGAGTGAGATGTGCGATGCCTCAGCCACAGCAATGAGCAATTTTGCAGGACCTCTGGTACCGCGGTCATGACCTCCCAGTTCTCACACTGGGGCGAGTCTCTTGTCTGGATGTGCTGCTGTCCTTGGGCTTTAATGCCTCAGAACTGGGCATTGCGACTGCTGCAGTGCCAGCCAGTAGGGGATGAGACAGAGCACGCTCACAGGTTCGACGGTACGACCATCAAGCTGCGGGACCGCCTGAAACGAGAAGTTTGAACTGTGACATCTCTGTGCTCGATGAGCTGACCTCCTCTTGAGTCGCAGGTTCAGGCAAGCAGGCGAGTTGACTCTTTGCTGAGCAGGACAAGGGATCCATCACCACAGGTGCTACCGGGAAGGCGCGGGCCCGCAAATTCCCCGCACCGTGTCTACGGGTCGCTGGTTGCAACAGACGAAGGGGCTGCTTACGCTTGTCACCGCACAGAACCCGAGCAGCGGAGATGGCACAAACTAGCAACCCGACGAAGCGTCTGTCTTTTGCAGGCCACCTTCTACAGCATCCTGAACTTCCAGCAGCGGGGTAAGTTCTTCGTCGAGGTGCCATTCAGTCTCAGAATGAGCACAGGATCGTCGTTCTGAAAAACCCGCGACAAGTTGATGACTTGATGGGCCTTTGTTGCGGGAAAAATGTACGAGACTATGCTGTGTGCCTGACAACCCTATGCTCATCAAAGGGTTACTCGGACAACTCTTTTCACGCCAGCCCCTCGCGAAACCAATGTCAGGGGTGGTATGGAAAAATATTAAATAGCAGCTAGGGCGGAGTGTGGAACTCGTGGCAGGTGCGATATGTGCAATCTAGAGGTTCCTGGTTGGTAGCTTCTGATATCATGTGTCATATTGCTCCAGTACCGATCCGTCTCGAGACCCTGTGCACGGATCGGGGGACTCCTGATAGTCAGCATAAAAGTCCGTTGGCTTCGACCACCTTCCTCCTCTGTAGGGCTTGGTCTTCAATTCTCCCCTGCCACGCAGCCGGCGGAAGAAGTCTACGCAGGGCAGGTCATCGGCCTTCACAACAAGGCAGGTTCCGAGTTTGCAGTTCGCTTCAGGATTCGCTTTTCCGTTGGTTGTGGATTTTTGGGGCGGGTTCGGCGATAGCTGGATGCCAAGCTTCAGGAGCTTGTTCCGCATCTGGGACAGCATCTGGAAGAGTGTGCATCGTGACTTGACAAATCTCATGTGCCTGTTGAGGCACTTAGCATCTGAGATGCATTGTTGTCCATTCGTTGTCAGGACACTGACCTGGCCGTCAACATCACGAAGGCTGACACTCAGGGATGCTCGAGGTATGGATCCTGTTAAAATATCCACGTCTCGGAAATTTCTCCAATATAGGAATCCCCAGAAATCAAAACACGGTCTCCGATGCACCTTTTTCAGACTTTTGCGTCTCGCGGCCAGGAGAAGGCAGTCTCCAACGTCCGGGCAGCCTCAAGCCTTGTGCCCAATTCCCCTCTGGCTGTGTGGCGGTGAGGCTCGTAAGTCCCAAGCTCCACCCGAGGTTCGTTCACGGTCGCGCTTCCTCCCAAGATCCAGGCCCTTTTTGGAGTTGAAGAGTTGAAGGTCCTAGGGTCCTAGAGCCGGGAAGTGAGCATCTTGTACATCGTAACAGATGAGCATCGACGACTGGCTGGGACACATGGACACCGATGAGGTTCTCGAGGCACTATTTGCGAGAGGCAACAAACGGGAGGCTCTCGACACTTGAAGAGGTCACACCTGGCCCACTCCGACTCGCCAAGAAAAAGGAGATCAAGGCAGATCTGACCTCTGGGTGTGTGCGCGCCAGAAAGCCCAGCCTGAGTCCTGACCCTGCAGGGGCTGAAGTGATTCTGATTCGTCCGCACAGGCGAGAAGGGGGCGAGGGAGCAAGGATAGATTTCACGGCCGCGGCAGTGGTCAGGTCTTGCTTGTGGAGGTGCACATGGTGCACACCGCGGCTGAGCCGCGGGGCACTTTGAGCTTGGCACGTGATAATAATCTTTGAATGCAGAAGTGCATTTCTTTCAGCGGGTCTCGTGTGCAAGATCCCGGTGGAGCGCAGGAAGTGATTCTTACCTGGTCTTACCCGTTTGCTTGCTCATGGGACCCTGGCACCTTGACAGCGCCAGCCTCCTGCGAATGGGAACCTCTTGAAGCAGCCTTCCAACACTTTCCAAGAGACTGGCCTGCACCGGCTAAAATAGCTACAAGTTTTCGCAGATGTATTTTCGCCACATTTTTCTGCAGATGTGGCCATCTCCCAAAACAGCGACCCCGAGCGCCGGAAAAGGAAGCCATGAACTTGCAGAATGCGGCAGTTTAGCAACACGCCCACATGAGCAGTGCATCTCAAGCCGAATTGTAAATATGGCAACGTCATGTCCAACACAACCCTAGGGCCAAAGCGGGGGTGAAGCTTGGCGATGAAGAGCAACGCTTTGGCTTCAAGGATTCAAGCCCGGGGCTTGCTAGGAGCCGTTGAATGGTCGGCCGAGGTCTGATTTTGCGCATGCCTGGTCGCCTGTGCGAAGGTATCTAAGGCTCAAGAGCTCTTGACGCAGGCTCCCAGTTGCAGCACCGCGCCATGCGTGATTCATGGCGTGGACTTGGGCGCCTGAGCTTCTTTGTTCTCCTTACAGGCGTGGTGGCGTCGGAGGAGTCCTTTACGATTCGAAGTGCCATTGCTCCCAACAAGTGTGTTAGTGTCGTTGGGGATTATTTTGTCGAGCTGGCTGACTGCGATGGAAGATGGCATGAGAGACAAGTTTGGTATTTCAATCATACATGGCTGGTCAACCGATATTACAAACTCGATGGTCAGGCCCTGTGCCTCCTGTTTCCTGCGGCATACTACAAGACTCACCATGGAAGACCTCTGAGGGTAGGCAGCTGTGAAGAGGGCAGGAAGAGCATGGACTGGGTTTGGGAGGCCAGTGGCCATATCAGACATGTGCATTCCGCTAGCGTGTTCGATCTTCCTGGCATCAACATCTCGGACTTTGCCGGCTCCAATGTGTGGAGCAGGAGTGGAGACCCCCAAGTTCAGCTCGGCACACCGGACTTGACGCAGAGGGACCAAATCTTCTTCGCGCAACCAGCAGGTGGGGCCCGAAATGGCAAACAGCCTTCGTTGAGCTAGCCGCACGCAAGATTGTGCAAGGCTCCATAGGACTCCATAGGTCGTCTGATCTGAAGTATGTCTGAGACACCACTGAGTCACAGAGTCCTGAGCCGATGAAGAGCCGATTATGTTTTTGGATCCCGCCAGAGAAGTCTAGGACTCTAGCAGAGAGTTGCTCTCTGTTTAGTCTACTGTTTGCTTGTATCAGGTTCGGGCTTGGGGTCGCCGCAGGGCTTCGAACCGGTCGGCCTTGGTCTGAGCTCAGACGCATACGAGGATTATGTGCTGATCACGCAGAGCTCCTGTCCGGACGGGTCGCCCGGAGAGCGCACGCTGTGCCCCTGGAGCCACCGCCGTGCCGTGGTGTGCAAATAGACGTTGGGTCAGTAGGAGGCTACGAACTGAGCACCAGTTTGCCTCAGAGAACCACCTGCTCCAGCTGTTGCTGCCACTGGCTGCTACATCGAGCCACGCTTCCAATCGCTTTGGTCCGGTTCAGGCGTGCAGCTAAGGCGGTCCAGATCATCTTTGTCAAGGCGGCCCCATTCGAGATCGGTGTGTCTGCTTCTCCGGATACTTTGCTCACGTCCTCCAGCATACTTACGGCCCCGACACCGGCTTTTGGACTTACACATGTTGTAGAGGCGAGCACCCATCCGACGCGTGTGGGGACTGGCTATATCTGGGTCCGCTTGCCAGTGGCGTGCTCGTTCTCGGAGCTTCTGGTGCGCTGATCGCCACCCTGATGATCCACCGCCACCGTCCCACCATTGCGCCTGCCACACACGAGGACCTTCAACTTCTGGCGCCACCGCAGTGCATTCATGATGGTGCAGAGCTCCACAGACGTGTGGCGCAGGCAAGGTGTAAGCTTGGATGACCTGCTCCAGTTCAAAAGATTGGTGCATCATTGCGTCCAAGACGGGTGTCTCAGACCAACAGAACTTGACAAGTTTTCGGCATCCGAACCTTGTCTCAACGATCGGAGAAGCCCGTTGTTGGGTATTTTGTCATGTTGAGTGACACTTGTGTCGGTTAACGGTTGACCTGATTGCAGGACATGCAGACAGGGCCAACGGCATACACAGTGAATGAGCAGCTCATCAAGCCGGTCACCTCAGCTGCCGGAAATGTCAGTTGGGCCCTGCTGAAGCATCCCACAGGCTTGATTGGCGACCTCTTCATCACCCACGCATGGGCTGAGGGGCTCTTCGATTTTGTGGACAAAGTTTCTCACTCATGGCCGCCGGGAGCCGTGGGTGCCTACATCTGTTTCCTGTCCAACCCCCAGAACTTGGACATCGGAGACTTGCTACAGGTCCCTAGCCAGTCGCCCTTCGCCAATGCTCTGCGCCAGTCGTCGTCTTTGCTTGTGATCCCAAATCATTCTTACAGTGTTTATACCCGAGCCCTGGCTGCTCTCCGGTTGGCTCTTGCTGTAACCTCTTTACTGGTAGCGTCTACACCGGGCTAAAGCTCAGCCCAGGAATTTGGTGTGTCTATGAAGCCTTCCTGGGCTATTCCTGGGACAAGCCTATTCGAGTTGCGAGGCGGCCTCCAGAGAGCTATGGCTTCAAGGTGCTCCGTGTCCCCTGCACGGGTCTCGCTGTCTGGGGCGGAACGATCCTGATTTTGATGTCCCAAACCAGCTTTTACGGCTTCAGCAGAGATTCTCAGGCATTGCTGTCCACGTTGGAGTTAGCATTCTTGGGAGGGGCAGGAGCATGTGGCAGCTTTGTTCTCCTTTTGTACCTCCTGAGAAATTGGCGACTTGCTGAGGATTAAGTTGGGAAAGGGAGCAATCAAGGCTTGGGCTCCAGGTGTTGGGTGCTTAGCTCCAGGCTTTGTGTCTTCATGGGTGGAAGTGGCGCAATCTGCGCCCTGCTGGGCCAGCAGGCTGCTGGGGGATCGTTTCAACGATGGTATCCCGAACATTTGTTGCACTGGTTCTGCCTCTCAATCGGGCTGTCCATCCATATAGAGGTTCACAGCATGGCTCAGGATTCCCAGACACTTGCTGTATGGTCTAGCCAGCCGGTAGATGTGGTTGTGTTGCTTTCTGAGAGAAATTTGCAATGGATCGCATGTCGGTGCGGTGCGTGCATGCTGAGGCGATTGCCGTGGCAATCAACGTCTGCCTGAAAGGGTTCACCGATGTGCCGGCGCTCTTCGCAGCTTTGGTTTCAGGCACAGTCAGCCCATGAACGCCACTTGCAAAGCCGTAATCCGCAACTATAGATTCTAATCACGGGGTTACGTGGCTGTTTGCACAGCTGCATAGCGATCAAGAACAATGTTCGAGCAGCCGTGGCAGGCGGTTGTAGATAGCAGCTACAACGAGCATAGTGTAGTCTGCACAGTTCAACCGATTCCATTCGATGTTCACCATCGGAGATAGACAAGTATTAGTCTTATTTTTATTATCAGCATTATGATGACTTTATTACTATTGTTTCAATTAATGGTATTAGTGTGTGTATATATAGAGAGAGAGAGAGAGAGAGAGAGAGAGAGAGAGAGAGAGAGAGAGAGAGGGGGTCGGTGAGGGGGGCTTGCCCTCCCACCCCTAGCCCTGGTGAAAGAAAGAGAGGGTCGCTAGACGACCCCTTAGCCCATCAAAAGAAAGAAAGAGAGGAGAGAGAGAGAGAGAGAGAGACGCACCACTATGTCTTTCTCCTAGCCCCCAAAGGCCCTTACACAGGGGCGCGCCTAGCGGGGGGGGGAGCCTAACCCGCTCCTCGTACCCCGGAGAACAGAACAGAACAGAACAGAGACCCACCTGCTCATGTTTGAGGGAAACTCCCTCTAACTGCTCAGGCCTTGGAGTGGCAGGGCTGGAGGCAGACCGGTTGCGTTCTGTAGCTGCGATGCGACATCGGTCCAATATCAGCAAAGTTTTGTTACTTTCTGTCACTTTAAGGCACGTTCTTGCAGTTCTTGTCGTGATCAAAAGACTGCTACTCCGTTTGTACAAAGATGCGATCTGACATGATTTGCCTTCAATGCGTGGGAAAGTGCCCGAGGACAGTCAGAAGAGCTTGCACGTGGCTTCGCCGGGTCGGTGAGAGACTTGTCAGGAAGAGCGGTACAAGTCACACCAGATAGCTTTCAAGTCTGTGGTGCTCTGACGGGAGATGATCTTGCCTTGCCCCGTCGAACATCCCTCCTAAAGAATTTAAGGACGAGCTCAGAGCTCTGACGCCAATGATCTGCGCATGATCATGGGTGAGATCGAGGAACATGGACAGGCAGATGACATCGACGATATGGTCGGTGCGTTGATGACAAGCAACGTATCCACAAGGCGCATGCGCTTAGTGATAAAGCTGGCCGGCCGTCTGGGCGATGCATCGGACTGGAGCAG